GCTCCAGTGCTGCCTGTTGACTCAGTAACAGACAGTGTGTGTGTGTGTGTGTGTGTGTGTGTGTGTGTGTGTGTGTGTGTGTGTGTGTGTGTGTGTGTGTGGGCTCAGCAGCAGGTCTGTCTCTGATAAAGTTGTGTGTAAAATGTATCAAGACTCCAACTAACAGTCATTTCTAATTCCAATTGATCGCCCAAATATTTTTTCTTTATCCATTTAGTCTCATAAATTCGTAAAACATGTCCTAATGTTCCACAGGTTGGCTTACCAACCTTAAAATATCTTGATTTAACAGAAAAATGTGCTACGTCATACGCTGACATCATTACTTCTAACTGGTCGTGTTCAATACAAGCGTCTGCCACTTCAGCGGTATTTATATTTTTCATTAGACTTGAAACTTGAAACAACCTCCTTGCTCAGTATCACTGATGCAGTTATTATTGTTGTGTTTGTGTACACTGAATTTTCTGAATTTGATATCTGAATATGAAACTTTGCCAAAAGATTCACGGAAATATAAAGAACTATGCTTAAATCAATAATTAGGAGTGTCATAAACATTGTTTCAGTCATCGTGGCTTCCAGTGTTAGTGTGGCTGAACAGTGTAAAGGCTCACCAGAACTCTTTTAGCAGTTAATTGCATGTCTTTGGACTGTGGGAGGAAGCTGGAGTGCACGCAGGGAACAAACAAACAAACTGAACAGTGGATCTGAAGCCAACAGCCCTAATGTAGCACCTACCACATGAGCTATCCCAGTCCAGGTGAATGCAGCCTGGACAGGCCGCCAGCCAATCACAAGGGCTAACATACAGAGAGCCAGGAGAGGCTCCAGCGCCCAGAAATTTTATTTTACTTTTCCTTTGTCTTTAAATATGACTTAAATAATGGTTAAATAAAATAAGGTTTCTATAAATAAAATGGCTTTTATTTTTCTCACGCACTGAGTTTACACACTCTTCTTTAACTAAAGCTAGCCTGTTACATCAACAGTGCACTGCTAAGAGGAAGTCTAAAGAAAAATTGCACTTTATTACATTTTTAAAAAATGAATCAACCACACAGCAAACAATCCTAAAACTGATAACTGATGAAGTAAATTTAATATCAATATCTCAGAGTAAACATTAAATGACAGAGGAGTCACACATGGCCTCTTTAGAAGCCCCCAAACATGTGCCTGCGTACGTATTTCAGTCCTGATCTGGTGTCAGATTGTTGCATTGATAATCGCTGTAAACACTTGTGGTGTGTCTGTGAGCAGCGAGGGTCTCGACCTCATGTCTGCTAATCTGCTCCAGATGTCCACCACCCGCTGTCACGCAGAGCCACAGAGCGCCAACATCTGTAAACATCTGATGAACAACATCCTAAAACGGTGCTGCTGTCCTCGCCTGTATCACCAGAGTGATGTCATCCCACAAATCAAAATGAAACTACAAGCTTCCAGCTGGGCTTCCTGCTAATATTAGGGCGACGCTGGTTATTTAAACGGATTTATTATTAGCTTTAAATGTATTTTCTTACATTACATCACCACGAGAGAGAATTAAGTGAGCATCTGCCAACGTACACACCTCGGCACCCTTTATGTATTAGCTTTAAGCTAATAAGCCTGCAGACAGTCTTTATCTTTAGACCTTAAAGGCAGTATGAAATCATTGTAAGGTGATAATTAAAGCTGAACAAACAGCAGCTTAATAATCTGTCAGTTGCATGAAAACAGACAAATCCTAAAATCTGGGAACAGATATGAACAAAGTTCTCAAGCCACCCCTCATTTCTTTACATTTTGCCTCCAAGGGGCCAGACTTTCTCCTCAGTCTTAAACTGTTCTTGAATAATAGTTGTTTAGACATTTGGCTGCTTGTTCACTCATTTTCAGTCCAGTCCTTGTACCTGACAATTTCCAGGGGAATGTTGTTTTGTTTGTTAAGCCAATGCACACTAACCAATGAATCATTAAAACATTTTTACAAGAACCAAACTCCAGCGATGAGCCTGTGTTGTGTCTACATGTGACAGTCAACTTCGCAAAGAAATCATTTAAAACTCTTCCCACCCCCAAGCACGATGGTGCAGTGGTCAACAGGTCCTTCCTGTGGAGAGTTTACATGTTGTCTGCGTGGGTGAGTACTCTGGTTTCCTCCCACAGTATAAAGACATACAGTTAGTGAGGTAGGTTTATCTGGTGGTGTGTATGCCACCTCTCACCCTACGGCAGCTGGGATAGGCTTGAGGCTCAGTGCCAACAGGTCTTCTGGAGTTATGCATCCACATTGCAAATTTTTTGATTCAAGTAATTTGGGAGGTCAGGTGAGAGGTACAACAGTGACTGTCTACATGCAGCCAAACTTCTATCAAAACTGATGGAAATATGAATAATTGGGCAGGGATAGCTCAGTAGGTAGAGTGGTGGCCCCATGATCGGAAGGTCGGGGGTTCGATTCCCCTGAACAGCCACCCTGAGGTACCCCTGAGCAAGGTACCGTCCCTACACACTGCTCCCCGGGCGCCCAGTGGCTGCCCACTGCTTCACTGAGTGAATGGGTTAAATGCAGAGAGGGATTTTCCCCACGGGGACCAATAAAGTACACCTTCTTCTTCTAAAAAAAAGAAAAGTAGCATCAAATTTGACTGTAAAATCAGATGCAGGATCCTCTGGAAAAGCATCTGATTGGAAACGTAATCATATTTCAGTATGATAGTTATCCCAAACACACTGCCAGGGGAGTAAAAGCATGTGAGGATAGAAGAAAACAGAATGGTCAACCATTCGTTGGCCTCCCCAGAGCCCGGACCTCATCGTTATTATAAAAAGTGTGAGATCATCCTGACAAAGAGCAGAACAAAAGGCAGCCAAAGAACTTTGAATGTCCTTTAAGAATCCTGGAGACCTATTTCTGCAGAATAATTAAATAAATGTAGAGAAAGATGCCTGGAGAATAAAGAGGGTCATACCAAGTATCGACTTTCAGGCTTGTTGGAAATGTGCTTTTGTGTTTTTGTCTCATAAACTGTACTTTTGTGTATGTTTGCAGATGTTTCAAAAAAAATCCCTGCACATTATTTCGATTTTCATACTAAAGTATTAAGAAACTACAGGTGGCTAAAGACTTTTGCACAGGACTGCATAAAGAAGTAAACCCTGTGAGTTAGAAGCTCAGGCTTTAGACTCAAGAGAATTTTATGTTTTTACTTTTAGCTCTGGAGCTCCTGGAGTTAAAATCACTTGTGTGAAACAGGTAATGAACTAAAGGCCTGAGGAAAGGTGTGGTATAACACAAATGTGGATTATTTTGAACTGAATCATGCAAAGCTACTCTAGCAGAGTCAAAGAGTAAAAATGTGAAACTAGAAAACAGCATAGGACCTGAAGGACACATCATTCATCCCACTTTCCTGATAAAACTTAGAAATCAAACTCCAAACACGGAAAAATATTTATTCTTATCTTTATTGTATAAAAACAAAAAAAGTACAAAATTCATGTAGAAATTTTACAATAGAAAAAAAGTTGAAAACAGCAAATACAAACTGCATGTGACTGGCCGACCGACACTGAGCTTTGCTGGTAGGAAAGAGGCGAGCGCTAAACCAGGAGAAACATCAGCTGCGAGCTCGCAGAGTTCACCGGCCGCTCTGATGACGGCAAACACGGCTAAAAGCACTGCGAGCAAAAGGCCGGACAAATATAAATATACAGGCTGTGAAGGAGAGTCTACGGAGCGAGCGGTTTAACCTCTGCTCAGCTCAGAGTCAGCTGAACTACAGGCTGTGGTATCGTTACGACTGTATACACAAAGGCTTTCAAAAGTCTTAAAAACAAGGCCCCGTGCTAAAAACGTAGAAAACGGCCGAGTGAGAGCGGCGTTTCAGACAGGCTGAAAGGCCCCACGTTTCCTGAAATAAAATGAAAACCGATAAGTGGGCACTTTAATCCAAAGTACGTTACAGTACATCAATCTGCATTCTTGAGCATGTGTAGCACCAGCAGCACTACAGCTGTCGAATAAAAACAGAAATCACACGGTTTTGGAAATAAATTTACAAAGAAAATCGTCACAGACGACTCGGCGTCCGTTTGGTTCGCCCCAGTCGATTCAAGCTGCTAAACACTGAGTATTGCTATGAGCCTGCGACGGCACATTTCTTCTTCTTTGTGCTTTAAAAGAGGCTAAAGGGAAACTTTTTGGTACCATTTCTTCCCCATCTCATTTCATATTCACAAATGTGGCTTTCACATGGTTCAGTAATGCTCCTCACGTCTCATTTTTCACATTTGCTTCGTGGCCAAAGACAGCAGAGAACAGAGTGTGAGTGAGGCCGTTTGTAATGCTTTCTAACACAGTACTGCTGAGAGTGTTTCTGCATGAATGAGTGTTTTCACTGTGGGTGATTTCTAAATCAGTCCGTTTTTTAACTGTTTCAACTCAAGTAGCGCTTAAATTAAAGTTTTTGATCAGGAATGTGTGAAAAACAAAACAAAACAATAACATAAAAAACCCCAAACAAAAACCATGCTACAGCTAGGCTACTTTTCAAAATAAATTATGCTCTTAATACGAGCAATCGACCCCCCGCTTTTTAAACTACAATGAAAATAATCCCACAACCAGAGGGCTCACCTGACAAACATCATCGAATACTTTCCAACAATCATAAAGATCCAAATCATATATTTCTCTTTTGCTGATATCTTCCCAAATCCACTGGATTTAAATTCAGACTCTACAGTTACAACATAAAAAACAAAACATCTTCCAACTCTCCATCCAAACCTTTGGATTGGGATAAGTTTCACCTTCCAAAAGAATATTTACAGTTGATCAAGTAACTATGAACACTGTCAACACAGGCGGGTGAGCGAGTGAAGCTGGAACGTTTGAATGTAATGTGAACGCTCGAATCCAGTGACTGCAAACAAGCCACTCCAACATTAAGTGTGTTTTATTCACTCTGTGTGTGTGTGTGTTTGTGTGTGTGTGTGTGTGTGGGGGGGGGCTGATTGTCCTGGTGTTGGAGATTAGACCTCAACAGAGCGCCAAGCAGAAAGGCACATTGTACACTGACATGAAGCAGATTGAGAGAAAGGTTTCGGTCTGTGCTTCGCTCCGTTTTGTTTTTCCCTGCGATGCAACCACAGCGCCCAGTTTTCACAGTTTATAAGAAGAGGGACACAGGTTGCACGATAAAGACACAACGGCAACACGCACACATCAGACGAGGGTCAAATCGTGCCTCTGACAGTCCTGTAATGCTGAACACCACAGCAGAAAAACACAATTTTTTTATATATTCAGAGGGAAGAGCTGGAGAGATGCAGTCTATTGAAACTGAAATGATTTTGCATCCTCCAGCTGATATTAAAATCAAAAGATTTACCATCCTAATTTTAAATATCATTTCTGTACTTTAACCCTGGAAGAGCATCACAAATCCCAAACTCTGACAGCACAGGGTTAGAATTAGGGCTAAGGCTCAGAGGTTCACATACCTCATACACTTCTAGTGGCTTTAAACTTTTCTAAGGACCTCACAGCTTCTGTTTGACCCACATCTTCCATGTGTGCACACACACATCCACTCCGACTCACACGAGCTGAGTCACACCTGCTACATAAAGAGCTGAGCCCCGAGACACGACATTGAGAAAAAAAAATAATAACAATTTTACAAAATATACAGGTCAGTCCATCAGCAGCGGTCCGTACCAGCAGACGGGCTGACGGGCTGACTGACAGGCAGTCAGACGGACAGGCAGGGTCCAGTTTCCACAGGAAGCAGCCCGATCCAGCTGCCGCTTTCATCTTCCCAACGCCTCTTTTGTTCAACGGATGTTTTCAGTCGCACCTCCAGGTGTGAGTGACGATGAAGAGCAGCGGCCAGTCCGGGTTGTCTTGTTCGCTACAGCAAGTCTATGTGAGCCTGTAGAGAGTGCTGAGAGTCTGGGTGATGAAGCTGAGGAGGCCTCGGCAGACGTCTCTGAAGTCGTGCCAGTGAGGGCCGCCGTGCTGGAGGGAGAAGGAAAAGACCAAATGAAGTCCAAATAAGATTCAGCAACATTTCATTATTCAACAACTGCCCTTTTTAGATGCTAAAAATGCGCATGCATTGACAAAATGACCCCGAAACAGCTCATAGAAGACACTTAATCACATGGCTGCAGCTTCATGCAAGTCAATGTTGTCTCCAGATGCCCTTGTTGACACACGGAGGAGCAGCAGCAACAGCAAAGTGATTGAAACTATATAAACGATGTCAGCTGATCATTTATGAACTTTCAGAGATGCTACATTGGTTGAAGATTATGAAGAAAACTGTGCAGACACCTCTCTGAATGAAGAGAACGTTTATATACCAGAATCATGTTTAACCTCGATTTACTCAAATCATATCAGCTGCAAACATCTGCCCAGTTATTTAATCCCATTTTTAACTTCTTAGGTGCAAAGGTTAACTCAGGCTCAGTGGATGCTGCTCAGAAACCGCTTATCCTGCAGAGGTAGCCCCGTCGTGACATGGCAAGTACTCGTGACGCTGTAATCGCCTAATCTGACAAAGTCACCGTGTTATTGGACACAAATGTCACATGATTGAACATAAATGTGCCATTGTCTTACTCCTAGGAAGAGAAGTAACCAGAAAAGACACATACGTCAACCCCACTGTGACAAAGAATAACATCTACTAAAGGAAAAATATCTCTTATTAATTCTTGAATGGACAAAAAAAATATAGATGCATTTAGATGTTTCCATGTTGAGCTATGAAAGGTGCCTTTTCCTGCTTTTTGATTTGTTTTTCATGTTTTTAAAATATTAATAAATATATGCTTCTGAAACAAGAAGTGGCCAGAAAGAGATAAATGGAGAGAAAGACTACGTGAGCCCGAACACGAGGAAAACAAGAGTGTTCCTGTGTGGAGGACGATGAACCTCTGTGGCTGTGGTTGTGGTTACACCTCCCTATATGCTTCCTTTGCAACCTCCATCCCTCCTTCCTCCCTTTCCTCATTGCTTTTGTTTCAAAGTGCTCGTTCAGAAAAACTGACTAGATCATAAACAACACGCACAGTTTCCTCAGTTTCCCCCAGAGACTGAAGTATCTCTCTCAGTGTGAAGACAGAGCGGCAGACAGTTACACGAGAAGCAAACCCTGAAACCTGCTGCACTTGTCTGCAAGGAGGAGTACGCGGGGAGGCGGGTGGGTGGCTACATCCTCATAAAGTGAGCAACTCATGTCTGAGTGCGAGCCAGGAGGAGGTGACGTCATCTTTGTTTGTGTGCAAAAGGCGGGATGGTGAGGGAGTGAGAGGGGAGAGGAGGTGGGAGGGAGGAGGAGGGGAGGGGGGGGGGGTCACTGCCGACTCCTCACGCGATGTAGAGCACAGAGGCAGGGCGGGGCCGGAGAGGGAGCGAGATAAAGAAATAACAATCAAAAGAAACAGACAGTAAAGGGAGGAGAACGCTGTCATTCAGACAAAAGGAAGAAAAAAAAGGATTAAAGAGCTCCATGTGTGACCTAATTTCTGAATGAAAGGAGAGAAAGAAGAAAGAGCTAGATGATGCAAATTCTGGAGAAACCTCAGGATTGCTGCTATTGCAGGTCTTAGTTTCTTACCTGCAGCTGAAAAAAACAAATACTAGACACAAGGCCTTTATTGTGCTTTTATTCTTCATTTATAACTAACTTGGGGCTCTTATTGTGAAAATCTGACATAATTATGACCATTCCGAGGGTTTGATATCTACAAGGGACTTGTAATTTGAAAAATCCAGTAGAATTAAAGCATCCTAATAACTTCCCATATATAACTGAAGGCTTTTATTTTGAAAACAACAACAGTTTAACAAAATAATGGATTTTATTTTGAAAATATGAAATACCTGATCTTTCTGATTACTTTCTTCAACTAACAGTGGCTTTTATTTTGAAAAAATTGCATATTTTAAAGCATAGTGTAACGTGTTAGTTCCTGTAGGGAAATTACTCCTCTGCATTTAACCCATCCACCCAGTGAAGCAGTAGGCAGCGCCCGGCGTACCTCAGGGTAGCCATTCAGTGGAGTTGAACCCCCAACCTTCCGATCATGGTGCAACCACTCTACCTACTGAGCTATCCCTGCCCCCCTAACTTCAATTAACAGTGGCATTTAGTGCACACATAAAGCAACTTCTTATGGAGCAGCTGTTGCCTAGGCTACCATCTAACATATCTGCCACACCCTCATGTATCAACAGTATCCTTTGCTACAACTGCTTCCCTCGCCTCACTCGCTTCAGGGTGAGAAAAGTTTAACTATGGCCTCGCAGCATTCATTATTTTTACACCTGCTCCCTTGTAGTTGCTGAAACTCAGTCACTACAGAGTCTTTGGGCACCAGGTTGCTCTAAGTCACTTCCTGTGTGGATGCTCCTTCATGGCAAAAAATGTATTGAAACAACTAAGGGCTTTTACTTTTAAAATCTGACATGATCTGCTAACATCCAGCGACTAACTGTGGTTCCTTCCCTGCTGCCCAGATAGAAAACAGATAACTAATGAACAGGAGCAAACAATGAATAAAAGATGGAGATAGGAGCGCACACAGTTGTAATTGATCCACTCGCTCGCACTCACAAATATCGATCTCTCTTCGCTATCATGCAGACGTGCAATTACTCATTGAACTCACATCCACTTATAAACCTGATAACAATGAAAGAGCAGGGCGGGGGAAAGAATCGATGTAACTGCGCTGCTTTCAAGGACTAGAAAGCACTTCGCACTTACGTCACCATCAACTCCACACTGAAAAAAACCCCATTGCAGTCGCCAAAACAGCTCAGCGACTTTAGGGTTAAAGGTTAAAACTGAGCCCTGTTATTTCCCGTCACCCTCCTTACCGCTCTGCGGAGGAGCGTGACATTCAGCTCATCTCCAATTGTCCTCAGCTGGTTCGCCACCCTCCTGATCTCCTGCTCCTGCACTGCTTCTCCCCCAGGAGCTCTGCGGCGAGGCGAAGCCCAGGATGGCCGCTCATTTCGGGGCAACATGTTAGACTGAGGTCGCAGCTGGCTGGAGGGCTGCTGGAGCTCCTGTCTGCTCGAGTCTGCAGAAGAAAAGAAAACTGCATATAAGAATTTATTTTTACCTTCCCCATGAACTCCATCTGCCTCTCAAGTGAGAAGAAATGTTCACGTGTGAACGGCCAGAAGCTCCTGCAGAGTTTCTGATTATCATCAATTGATTGTCAACAAGCAGCATACATTAATGGCCTCCTTGTGCAGACAGGTTAAGTCAGAGGGGATGTGTGCCCACACAGACACTGAACTCCTCCACAGAGGAAAACCGGATTAAAAATTACATACAGGGGAATCATAATAATTTTAATTTTATGCATTTCAGTGGGAAAAGAGGCCGAGGAGGTGGATTTTCTTGACCTCCGAGAGTAAATCAGGCTAAAAAGAAATGTTTCGTGTTCTCACACAGACCGACAAACATACAAATTTCTTAAGGAGGAGGCTGATGGAGTGACTTATCTTCCTCTTCATGGAACTTGGGAGAGTAATCTCTTAATCTGCTTAATAAGTCTGGCATAGAGAGCTTTTGTGTGTTTGTTGTGTTTACAGAATGATTTTTGTTTTGTTTTCTTGGACAAGCAGATACCTGAGCCTCCAGTCTGATTCCTCCGTCGTGACTAAAATCAGACCTGAATCTGTTTGAGATATTATGACTTTAAGAAAACTCGATATATATCATCTTATTCTTTTCATTTACATATCTGTACTTACTTTGTGCATTTTGGTTTAAGTGTTTCTTAAATCCTTTTTCATAGTGTGGGAAAGCATCGTAACCGGATAAATACTTTAACTACCTCAGTCTTTTAATTTTGATGCAGATGAACTAATTAAAAGTTAATCATCTGCTGGCTTCGATTTTAGATTTCAGCCTCTTTGATTTGAATAACTCGTCTCTAAAAACTGAACAGATGCCCTCTGTGACCTCCCTACGGCACACCTTTGGTTCCCCGGCTTGTTTTCTACTTTGTCCAATCATACAGCTTCTTTGAAACAACCCCTGTCTCCGGCACAACGCCGAGCGCCGGTGGCGCCCCCGGCAACCGCAGCATCCACTTTGCTAGGAGGATTATAACTTATCCTTTAAAGATGCAGGTGACTAGACAGAGAGAGACGGAGTGAGACGGCGAGAGAGAGAGAGAGAGAGGAAGAGAGAAAAGAGAGAGCGGCGAGGAGGAAAAAAAAAAAAAACACAAACAGGAAAACCCTGGCTTGTTGCCAAGGTAACTCTGAGGCAGCACTCCTGGAGACATCTGCGTGCGATTGGAAGACAGCACAGGGGGCCGAGCTGTGATAGGATGACCTAGAGGAAAGGGGGCGGGTTTCTAGATGAACCTGTCCGTCTGATAGGCTGACGGGGTGACAAGGTGACAGAGAGACCCCCTTGACCAGTTAAGTGTGGGAGCCACTAGAGACAGAAGGGGTGGGTGAGGTGAAGAGGGGGTGGCATTAAAAACCTCAGACTAAACCTAAAGACACACCGACGGGGGAGGCAGAAGGCTTAATGGTGAGCTGGATAACTCTACCTACTTTAGTTCTGTTATTAATATTTCACTAATATCTATAAACTTGGGATGCAACAAGCCTCCAAAACCACCATTTCTAATTATCTTTAAGCAGTACAGCTCTCATCAGGCTAATATGGCCATAATGTTATGGGAGGATGTCCCGTGACACGATACCGTGGACGTCTGTAATGCAGTGTCTTTACTTTTATAACACCCGTATAAGAAACAGATACCTGCAGATGAACCGAAACAGAGAAGAGCAAAACAGGGAACTGGGAACTATCTAGTTTACTGAATTTCCGCTGACTGCGCTGGAAGCTCTGAAACATTGTTTCCTTAACAAATACACAACCTAAGCAAATGCGCTGCACACGAGCCCGCGAATGACGTGACCGCAAAGGAGCGCATTGTACGGCAAAGCAAACTATCTCACCTTGATGACTCGCTGCGAGCTTTGGAGCAATTAACTAATGAGTAAACCATTTTAAGACTCGCGGCCACAAACTTTCCTAGACATCACCTGAAAGCATAAAAATCTGGCACATTATCCGGTCTTTAACCTGTCAGCTTCCTGGTAAAAGATAAAGAAAAAAGATCTGTGTAATGTTTGATTGCGGTGATGTGTGAATAGCAGCTATTCAGGTGTCTCTCTCACCTAAAGTACTTCCTGCAGCGACAGAACATTTGAAGCGGACTACTTCCTGCTGTAAAGCATCCTGACCAGGAATCATCCAACATTCATGTGTGAAAACAGTCTGACCCTCTGGTTTATTAAATAATTGGCTGACTGATGATGGCTCAATAATTATTACAGCTTTACGACTAATTGATTAACTCGGTTTCTGTGCAAATAGCTGAATAATCAACTTACCCACTCACTGAATAACAAATCCACTTGCCCATTAACTGGCTTAGTGATTGACTCATAAGCCTGCTTAGCAAACTTTTAATCTGATAAACCGACTTTTGTAAAGCTGTTTTTTTAAATAATAATAATAATAAAAAAAACCTAACTGAATAAATCCCTGCAGCTTTGACTCTTTGGCCTCATTTCCTGCTGGTGACACACTGACAGGCTGACCTGACTCTGTGCTGCCGGGCTGAGCCTCTCATGAGGAGGAAACTGCAGATTGTTTCTTTATTGCAGGCGGGGACATGTCTCAACATGCCTGCATGCACAGCTGAACTACAGCTGAGAGAGGAGGAGGAGGATGGTAAGATATTTGTTTACATTGCTACAGCCCTGTCACAACAGCATGGGTTAAAGTCAAACCTGCTGAGCCACTTCTGCAGCCTCACCTGAATTCACCTTTCTGATAAATTTTCCTCCAGGATACAGACTCTTGGGCTTACTTCACCTGATTCCTGAATCGCCCGGAGAGGTGATTTTCTTTCTGAAGCGGAGGGCTGAATGTCTTAAACAGCCTCAGGCACAAATCAACATCTTATCACAGACACCTTATTCAGAGCGGCAGCAGCACAATGAGCTTTCAGAGCCCTTTTTACTAATATTACAAAGTGGCAGCGACTCTAATGTCCCCTGGAATGAATCCGGCCTTGCGCCATAAACTCTGAGCAGTTTGAGGCATCTGTGGCGCCTTGGGCAGCTTCTTGAAAGATCAGCATAAAGGCCAGCTGGCCTCAAGGTCACTCTGCCAAAGAGGGACCACATGTTGATCCCTGCGACAGCTGGAGCACATCTCATCTCTACCCTCCACCTGTCCCCACTCATCAGCGCTGCCCAAACAAACTCATGTCAAGTAAATAAAGCCACGGCTCCAGTAAACACATAACCAACCGATACTCTCCTGCTAACTGATAACGCTGGTGTTTACTTAAGGGTGGGGGTCTGGAAGGCAAACACTTGCGTGTGGTTGTGGCTGAGTCACATCTGATCACAACCGCTACTGCTCGTTGTGTATACATGCAGCTTGCTTCCTGCTGCAGCGGCTTTTAAAATCAGATTTGCTAAGGCTCACCTGACCAGCCGAGACAAACTGAGACAGATTCTGACATTTTGATCTGTTACACTGTAAGACAGAGACTTTTTCTTTTCTGGAATATGTTAAAAACTACCACAAATTAAAAGAAATAAAGCTTCAATTAAAGCTGCAAGCCGAAATAATATAAGATGTTTTAAGTGTGCTTCTGTTGCTGCTAGGTGGCGCTGCGACTCAGTGGTGGTATGCAGATGTTTTCGGGTTGGGACTCTTATCGCACATGAGAAGTTTGGGGCAGACTGGATGGTTTATATGAGAATTCATACAACATAAAGAGATCAAAATGCACCACGGTGCCACAGACACACCCTTCGATAAACACTTGCTGTAACATCCCTAAAGTCTTTACAGCAGACAGGCCACATATGAAGACGAGCCGTCTAAATCACCAGGAGGAGACGTTTGTTAGAAAAAATAGTCCCAAAATCGCATATAATGAAAACTGGGAAAAACCTGCAGCTCAAAAAGATTTATCAGGGGATGGATTGATCTGCATAAGTGTACTGCACAAGACAAAGTTTAGCTTCCCTGAGTTGTTGAACAAGAGTTGTTGTATTTGTGCTATATCCCTGACAGAATGTGCCCCACATGGCTTCACACAAACATACTATGTCCCACATTTACTCTGTTGGAATCACTCTGGCTGTGGCTGAAAGGGTTAATGATTAACACCGCACTCGGGCTTGGTGTTACATTAACCTTCTTTTCTGCCTGCCTGTCAAAACAAGTAGAACTACCCCACGTAGTTTTAATATTACACCATGCTACAACTCACTGTGTGCAAAACTGTAAATATTCAATATTACCTGAACGCTCTCCTGAGACGTCACCGGGTGCAGGTGCACCTCTGCACCTCAAATCCCTCTGGTTGGGAGGCGATGCTGCGGGTAACCGCTGGTGAACTCGGGGGTCGTCGTTGTCGTCTGGGTGGGAGTACGACAGCGGGTACGACACATAGAGAGCCTGCATGGGCTGCAGGTGATGGTGGTGATGGTGATAGTGGTGGATGTGTATGGCACCAGTGCTGGTCCCGGAGGAGGAGGGGGTGGTGGTCGTACTATTGAGCATCCCAGGCCAGGTGTGGAGGGGGCAAGGCAGCTCCACTCGGCAGGTGTTGTGACACGGAAGAGAGGAGTTTCCTCCAGCAGGGGTTTCTCCAGCGCTCTGTATGGTCTGTGCTCTGGCCATATCAGTTGTAGCCTAATTAAGGAAGACAGAAGTTTTAAAATTTTGTGTTAATTTTCAATTCAGTTGTGTTTTTACAGTTCAAAGTTTTAGTTCTGTTTTTATTGGTTTCAGCGTTGGTTTTGGTTTTTGTTATGGCTGCCATTCATCAGAAAGTATAACACACACCCCAGTCTCCATAAACACAGGCACTAAAGCTTAACTCAAAATTAAGACCTCTCCTATATATAGATTTTTTATTATTTTGCCCATTTTTATAAATATCCAAAGTTATTTTAGTTTTCATTGTTTTAAAAGGTTTTTACTGGTTTTTAAAGGTTACGTTGTTTTTAAAGGTGCAAATATACAAGACTGTGTAAATTAATTTATTATAACAACTAAAAATACGTCAGACAATAATCATTTTAGTTTGTTGAGCGCACAGAGGCAGCTGGACGGTGTAAAAACAAGTAAACTGAAGATTTAAAAAAAATAAAATAAAAAACCACAGATCTATTTTTAGCACCTCTGATTTTTCCTCCGGTATATTCTGCTGTAGGCCGCTAGGAGGCACCAGCGGTTCCATTTTCGGAGCACGAGACCTGTGTTTGTAAACAAATCCGTGCCGCCCGTGCACGAGGCAGCGCGCTCGCGAACTCACACAGCGAAGAACAGGGACGCGCGCGCTGATTTAACGGCGGAACACTTCGATGTTCGCTGTCACCGAGCAGAAAGCGGGGCACGAACAAAACTCAACAAAACCGTTTATTTAATATTTTGTCGCCACAAATGCACGCAATGTTGTTCATTTCCGGGCACAGAGTCAACACTGACAATTTAAAAATAAAATCCACGAGAGGAAAAAAACACAGAAACAAAAAAAACAGCGTTGACTTTACGAACTTGTCCGCACTACCGCGAAACAAAATTAGCTTATTTTTATGTTTTTACCGCCACGTTGTTAGCTTTTCGTGCTCTGACATGTCGGGGCTTGTCTCTGTCAGAGCAACGCGAACATCAGCTCACTGCACAAGAAAATAAAACTCTGTGTAAAAATGCACTGTTTGAGTATAAAATCTGAAAGGAGCTTGAAGTAAACGGGCTCGTTCAGGTGAAGTCTAAAGCGCACTCCTGATCCCCACAGCTGGGCAGATGATGCAACTTTGCGCTGCCAACTTCTGCAGAGAGAAATCCGGCGGAAAGCGCTTACTTGGTGGAGGTTTTCTGAAGATCCGCGGCGAGGCTGTCTGCAGGTCTGAACCTGACGGTAACAGGTGGCCATAAGACGGAATAAAAGCTGCCGAAAGAAACCGTGGATGCGCCGGTGAGAAGGCTCCGGAGATGTTTAAAGTCCGCCCGGAGGAAGCCGTGTCACTCCATCCCAGGTGTCCCGCTGTGAATGGAGTCGGTGAATTTTTTTTAATCTCTTTTTGTCTCGGGTTACGTCATCAAAACAATAATATTGATGAAGATGAGGTGTAGCGGGACTACGTTCTGCTTGGCTTGCTGTCTGTCAGGGTTTTCCGTCTGAGCTGGTCCGTCTCGGCTTTTAAAACGCGATCGGTCAAACATCCGGTCTAGCCTTTCACAATAAACTCCACACAATACAACCAAAATAAACACATCTTTCTCTTTCGGCTTCTCCTGTCAGTGGGCTTACCTCCATCTCTGCATGTCTTCCTTCACTTCATCTTCAACAACTTTTGTCCAATATATCCACCATCCCTCCTCTGCAATTGTCTAAACCATCTCAGACACACAATATATCTGCTTTCCTTTTCCCAATCATAGTCCCTACATTTAATATCCCCCCCTCTCACCTGTATAGTCCCAATCACCGCCTCCAAACACACACCTTCCCTCTTGGACACTGGTGTACAATCACCACTCAAATCTAATAGAAAGCCCCCTTATCTGTTTGCCAAATATGATATTTTAAAAAGATTTCCCATCTTTTCTGTGACAGAATTTTCCCATTTCAATCCAAGGATCTGTGAGTGTCATGCCTCTTTTGCATTCAGTAACTAAGTTAAGCAAAATTGGACTCTAAAACTTTCTAGTTGACTTGCATAAAAATAAAATCACTAAGATGTATTTTAACACTTATTTTAACAAATATCACTAATGATTCAAAAAAATTAATGTCTGTGTAAAAAAAACACATTAAAGCAAAAGTTAGTGCATATAATAGAAATCACCACATGTGGGCTCACTTTATGTGCAGACTGAGTCACCTATCCAATGATTTGTGCTTAATTTACTTTTGCGTTTGCATTGTTCTTGCTTTAGCTTTTATTTTGATGGGTTTGTCTAACTTCCGGTCCCTCCCTCCCTCTCCTCCTCCACAACAAGTGCAGACATGCTCCTTGACAGGATGCTGCTGTCTTTAACTCCACCGCTGTCCCCTCTGCCTGCCTTCTCTCTTTCTTTTACATTTTCTTTATATTTGACATTTTATCAAAAACTTTTAAATCCTCTTCAGCACGTCTCCATGGTTTTTTTTAAACTCACACATCAAACACTCCTTCATATTTAACAGTTAATGCCCTTCTTGTGCTCTGTTTTTTTTCCCTTCCCCCTTATCTTTAACTTTTTTCATGCCACAGCCCCACACAGCGATCCACACACCACCCCCACCTACACACACCTCC